CGTGCGATGCGCGGGTAAACAATAAAACAATTGAATTATAAACTAAAGGGAAAGCTCATTACGACACTATTTCGTCGGGGGGTTTTAATAGTATATTATTTATCCTCCACTAATCTACATGTGTATCTAACAGTAAAAACTTTGGCAAAATATTTCCGTAATAGATTGTAGTCTTTCCCACAATATATAACTTAACATTCATCTTCATTACCTCATGATAACATTCTTACTTTATTTATTTGAATTGTATTATATTTAATGGAACAAATATTTCTTAAGAAATCAGTATTCAGTTTCAACAATCGATTAATTCAGTCAATTTGACTCATAACATGGTCACCTAAGATGCAACAAAAGTTATGTCATATTTTTCGGCGATTTTTACAAATGATAAAAAATTGGTCCAATAAACATGTACAATAACCTAATTCACTGAACCGGTTGATCCAAATAAATTTCATCTTTTTTGTCGTAAATATAATTAATTTTATGAAATAAAAAATAAGTTGTGATTCATATAGTAAATGTTTATAACAAATGACCATATATTATGACTCGAAATTATATTACAGAAGACAAATTAACTGTTTATTACTTATATATATTTTTTAAAAAATTAAAATTAAATAATTGATTATGTAATTGACATGATGACTTGATACGAACATGGGTCTGAACAAAGCAGTGATCTAATGCATATTTATTAAATTTTTGTAGTATGTTAGTGATCTGAACAAACCGAGATTTCAAAATAAATTTTAATATAAAATTTTTCTGTTTAATTGAGCATCACGTGTTTCTTTATCTACGGAATTCATTTGAAATTTGTTTTGTAATGCAAAATTAAAGAGACAGAAATTATAAGAATTCTTTTACCATTTGAAAATAAATAAATAATAAACATTAACTAGCAAGTGAAGATACATATCCAATTTTTTACCAAGTCAACTGCTTCCTGACTTTTGCTTCCTGACTTTTTGAAATATATATAAAAAAAAGTTACTCAAAATAGTATGTAATTAATGTTGGCAGATTTTTTGCTTACTATTTTTGGTAAATGGTAAATCTTTATATATATATATAGATTTTGTATGCCGATTTATGATGTTTTCTATTCTTACATGGTATATTCTGGTCTTTTAAAATAGAACATGAAAATTTGAGCTTTTATCTATACAAACTTTTATAATTATTAATAACTTTGTCAACCAAAACTATAAATATACTTTAAACTTCATAACTTTTTTATTTATTTATTATCAGTATTTATAAAACATGTATCAAATTACACACACTTTTATGATCTTCAAATTGACATTCATATTACATTTATAAAAAATTGTATCTATATTTATAAATTAAAATTAAATTGGAGAATAACAAAATTATAATTTATTAATTAAAATAAACTTATCTATATATCAAGACTATTATATAATATGTTAGAAAAATTATTAAACTATAGGACGAATGGGTCTTACTGGTGATTAGTGTCATTTTATATTTAGACAAAAATCCAATTTTTTAAGAAATAGTTTAATATTTAAAATAAAAGCTTTTATATTTTAAAAATTTTGTTTTATTTTTTTTTAGTTGATGTAGTACTAGTAGTAATTAAACTTAATCCACTAATATTGACATTTTTATCACAACTGATGCAGTTCTTATTTCAATCATTCATGATGCATAATTAAAATGTAGTAAGGTTAATTGTTAGTGAGATTTTGAGTTTATATTATTAAAATAATATTTAGAATAAATATATACATAATGCATATTTAATTCATTCATGATGCATATTTAGTCCATACGAAATGCATATTTAGTTCATCCATAGTGCATATTTGTTGTATTTAAAGTAAGTATATACATGATACATATTTAGTCCATTCATGATGCATATTTAGTTTATACGAAATACATATTTAGTTCACCCATAATGCATATTTGTTGTATTTAAATTAAGTATATACATGGTGCATAATTAGTTCATTCATGATGCATATTTAGTTTATACGAAATGCATATTTAGTTCACCCATAGTGCATATTTTTTATATTTAAATTAAATATATTGCTCCATTTTTGAAGCTGTCAAGTCCAGTAATTGCTCCTGGTTATGGTCCAATTGGCTCACTGTCATTCCCACTTTTGCTCAGGGTTTCAAAATTGAAATCAGAAATGGTGTCTCTACCAGGATTGATGAATTTAACTGGGTTCCCTCACTTTACTCTCAAAAGCCCAACCTTCTTGAGATTGTCAGAGGATATATTATTTGGGTTAAAGAGCTTCTAAATCAATCTGGAAATGGATGGAATGAATGGCTTGTCTCACAACTGTTCAATGCAAGGGACTGCAAAGCCATCCTTGAGATATGCACTCTCAAACCAGGTATGGCTGATAAGCTCTGTTGGTCTTTCAATAGACAGGGAACTTTCTTTGTGGCAAGTACCTATGCTTTCTTAACAAAACAGAAGTTGCTCACTCTTGATTTGCCTAGCAGTAGTTCCTCATCCCACAATCTGAACAATCTTTACATCAAGTGTTGGAATTTGAAAGTAATGGGGAAAATTAAACATTTCCTTTGGAAATGTCTCACTGGTTCCCTACTTTTGAAATATAACTTGGTGAAAAGAGGTTTAAAATTGGATACTATCTGTCAATCCTGTGGGAGGGACACTGAAACTATAGAGCACATTTTGTTCACCTGTCCAAAAGCATGCAGAGTTTGGGATATTGCTCCACTTCAGTGGGATGACTTGCAATCTTTCACCTCTTCTTTCAAATGCTGGTGGTCCAATTTATGTTCTGTGGCTAAATCAGATGTTGCTGCACCGAGAATCTAACTGACCACCTACATGTTATGGTGGCTTTGGAAAGCTCATAACCTCTGGATCTTTCAACAGATAAACCTCTCTGCTACACAAATTGTCAAGACTGCTCATAGGCAATGGCTGGAGTTCTCTATGTTGCATTAGAATGTTGTGATTTCTTTTCCTTTTGCTGTGGTCTTTTTCATTTCTTGTTTTCTGTTTGTTTCAGTTAGTTAGTATAGCTTTGGTCCTTTGTTGCTCTCTAGGCTTTGGTAGTGGAGAGATTTTCAGTTTGGTTTCTAGTCTTTTCATGTATTTGTGTGTTGAGGTTCTAGGCCGCCGTGGTGCGTGTCCTCTCAGTTTTTAGTTTTGATGTTGTTAGTTGATCAGTTGAATATTGTTATGGTTTCTATATTTGAGTAATATACATCCTCTATCGTTTCGGAAAAAAAAAAAGAGTGCATATTTAGTTCATCCATAGTGCATACATGTTATACTTAAATTAAATATATACATAATGCATATTTAGTTCATTCATTATTTCAACAAACAGAGGAACATGATGTAAAACGATCGGGACGACTACTTAAATGAACTGATCGAGCATATGCTGATAAAGAAGGAGAAATGTATGTACCTAAAATGAAAAATACAAAATACATTTATTGTCTTTGACCAGCGTATGCTTGATCAGTTCATACAAGTCGTTGTCCCTGTCGTTTTCGTCATGTTTTTTCGGTTGCTGGTCTCGGTCCGGCTCATGATCTTCCACCTTGTTACTTTGGGAATTTTAATTCTAATAAACTATGGGAATTCAAGATGATGAAAATCTCCTTCACGTGTTTCTGGTACAACGTCCCAAGAGTTTCTAGGGCTTACACAAAAAGTTGATAATTGAGAAGAAACTGGAAAAATGTAAAAATAGGTGCAAGAAGCTGATCTGCGACTAAAATGCGACAAGCCAGCGATTGACCGTATTGTTCACATAATTTCTGCATCTTTACGCACTTCGTCAATTAACTTTGCCTATCTGTCGAATATTTTATCGTATAACTAGACCACACTTGTTGAATTATCTTGGCCTGTTTGTAGCCTTGTTTATCACATAATCTATTTCGCACTTTATCGATTATCTTGACTTGTTTATCGCATACATATTTTGCAATTTATTGATTATCTTGACATGTTTGCCGCGTAGTTTATCGCATAAATATTTCTCAGTTTTTCAAATTTTTTCGTCTCTTTTTTCGCATAGTTGTCGCATAAATATTTCGCACTTTATCGATTATCTTTGCATGTCTGTCGCGTAGTTTATGGCATAATGATATCGCACTAGCTCGATTATTTTTGTTTGTCTATCGCATAGTTTATAGCATAAGTAATTCGTACTTGCTCAATTAACTTCGGCTGTCTGTTGCATGCTTTATCGCATAATTGTTACGCACTTGCTCAATGAACTTCGTCTATCTGTCGCATAGTTTATTGCATAAGTAATTCATACTTTCTCAATTAACTCCGTCTGTTTGTTGCATACTTTATAGCATAATCTGTTCCGCACTTGCTGAACGAACTTCACAAGCATGTCGTATAGTTTATTGTATAAGTAATTCACACTTGCTCAATTAACTTCGCCTGTCTGTTGCTTGCTTTACCGTATAATTTGTTTTGCACTTTACTCAATGAACTTTGCTTGTTTAAGGCCGAACCGACAGTTCGTACAACTCAAATGCACCCTGGCCGTCGGATCTCAACTGTTGATTTAAAAAATTTGACCGTTGGATCAAACTGTTTGATTCCAGTTTCGAGATCCGAGCCTACATCGGCCCTGCCCAGAATCGAAAAAAAAAAGAAGATCTGACCGTTGGATTTCAATGGTAAAAACGATCCAACGATCAAAGTGTGCCGATTCCGAGCCTAATCAACATTTAAAAAATTTTAGAAAACCACCGGGCCGATTTCTGTTTGGAACCGGAATCGGAACCAGAATCGGCGGTTCTAAATGTTTTAGAACCGCGGCCATGTCTTGGCGGGGAGACGGGAGGATAAAAAAAGCTAGTACAGTGAGTGTGACGTGGTGCGCATATTCAAATAAACATAACAATAGTTGCTTGTTTTTTTGTTTAATGGAAATGTGACCAACCACTTTTCTTCTTAATCAATCAAAATTAAAATATTTCAACATCCTTGACTATAGCCCACGATAGCACAGACAACAACACACACTAAATATTATTTTGTTAAACAATTTAAAGAATATATATTTTTCGGGAAAAAGGTGTTGGGCTCACAATCATATTCGATTCCACGTGCTTGCTTGTTATTTCTCTTGTCAATCTTCACTGAGCCACGTATGGTAGATGTATTGTTGAGCTGCCCTTCGATTTAGTTGAAGTTCGAGCTTTAACTGGGCTATTTCTCCTTTCTATTTTGAAGGTTTCTATTTTTATTTGCTTTTTGTTAATATGGTTTTCATTATTTGGGTTTTTCAGGAATGTTTCTGGATACGAGTAAATCGGTGCTTGGATACTGGCAAGAGCTCTGTTTAGCAAATTCTTGGATTTTTCTTGTTTCCTTAAAATTTTCAGAACTATAAGCTATGCATTTCAGCAAGATCTTTTTTTTTTTTACTCATTTGCAGTATACCATGTGTGTGTGTGTGTTTATATGTGTTATTGTGTCTGAATGTTATCTGTTTGTCAGCCAGTACCTATCAATATTATTATGTATTCATTACTCTTGCTCTTCTTGTTTTTTATGCCCGAGTTGAAACAAGTGATGGTCTTCATCAGTGTATTTGGTTTTATATTTATTTTTATGATAATTTATCATATTTTTCTGTTTTGGGGTTAGGATAAGCATACTGTACTTCTTCATGATCAAGAGATGTTGACTCTGATTTGTAATAGTAGGAATAATCATGTGCAAGAAAAAGTCAAGGATCCAATGCTCTGTAGGATTTTCAAAATTAGATTCTGGGCCTCGTAGATTGATTTATCCCATGTTAGATGTTTGAATCTAATTATGATTTCTGTCTTATGCATTGCTTTTGTATTGACACCTCAAATCCGCTAAGCATAACCATTCTTTTTTTGTGATATTGTTCCAGTCAGATACTAATATGAATCTGTTTGTTTCGTTTTGGCCTTCGACAGTTGTGATTAATAAAAGATAAAACCAGTGCTTTGGTATCATTGTTGTAACTAACAAATTAAATTCGTCCAGTTTGTCATTCTTTGTATGGGATATGAGCTAAAGTCATATTTTTGGGCTAAATCAAATTAGCCAGCACCTACGCCGAAAGGCATGCTTGATTTTGCTGAGAATCGCTTTTTTTTTTAAAAAAAAAGATTTTATGATGCTTTATTCTTGAGCTAAATCAAATTAGCCAGCACCTATACGCCGAAAGGCATGCTTGATTTTGCTGAGAATCGCTTTTTTTTTAAAAAAAGATTTTATGATGCTTTCTCATGATTAGAGTTTTATGGTTTGATTTAACTGTGAACTAAACTGATATAAATTGTACTAAACTGATTTCTGATAGTATTGTTCGTTTTCCACTTTCTGTGGTGCAAGCAATTCGTGTTCAATTTTCTTGATTTATTCTTGTGAATCATAACCTTGTTTTCTGTCTACTTCTTGATTGTTAAGGTTAGGGAGCTGAAACTTAGAATGAATTCAACATCAACACAATTTTTGCCTGCGAGGCGGATAGGCTTATTCGAGCCTATTCATCAAATGGGAATGTGGGGTGATTTCAAAGGCAAAACTTATCTGGATGAATCTTCTGTACAGTTGATTATTGATATTGATGCTAAACTCGACAATCAGGTGGAAAAAAAACTAATTGCCTCTATTTGGTTTTCTTTCAAAACCTATAGACGCATGTCAGACCTATTAGTTGACTCGTTTTTGCATGTTTTCTAGTCGGAGGATACTTCACATGGAACAGTTGGACCTTTCAATAAATACGACCAAGAAGCAAGTAAGCCAGATAAGGTAAATTGTATAATAAAAACTTATTCTCTCTTGGATTCAGTAAGCAAACATTTGTTCATGGTTAATTTGTCCTCTTCATTGTGTTTTCGAGAAATAAATCGTACTGGATTACAGTTTGTCAACTTATATAAATTTGACATGTCACAGATCACATCTTTATTTGAATTTCCATTATAAAGAGTTTTGGTAGTTTAATAGTTTTTCTCAATTTTTTTTTTTTTTTTTTTTNACTTTATTGGTTGTAGGTCCTGAGACGCTTGGCACAGAACCGTGAGGCGGCTCGTAAAAGCCGTCTGCGGAAGAAGGTATAAACTTTAAAGGTTTCATTGATGGATTGTTATTTCTGATACTAAGTCATTTAGGCCTAAATTTGTTCGCATTACCTTAAATTTGTGGTGCAGGCCTATGTTCAGCAGTTAGAAAATAGTAAATTGAGACTTGCTCAGTTAGAGCAAGAGCTTCAACAAGCCAAGAAACAGGTGAAATAAGTATTTCGTATTATTTGAGGTCCCTTTTTTATTTTAGTTTAATTTTATTTGAAATGTAGCTCGTGATAATTGAGCAGAACATTTCATCTTTCTAAAACGGTGCTTTGTGCTGCAGGGTTTGTACATTGGTGGCACTTTAGATGCTACTGAGCTAGGATGTGTAGGAACTACAAATCCAGGTTTGTCGGGTCATATGCCACCAATACCCACGATTCAGAGAAACTATTTATTCTAATATTGCAATTTGTTTATTTTACTTTTCTGCAAATTACTGTCAGCTAAACTACATTTGGTGATGAAATTATCAAGTTCAGAGATGCTCAATGATTTATTTGTTTTATATGTTTTTTGCTATCATTTTGTTCAACTAAAAGACAGCTTGACTTGTAATTGGTGGTTTTATTATTATCATCATCATCATCATCATCATGATGTGTTTTTGTATTAATCAAACTACTCAACATCAGTACTTAAAAGTTGTATACAATAACCTGCTAAATGATGCTTCAAGTATTCACTTAAATAAGCATATCAATAATAGCATTTTAATGAATCTATCCTGCGTAAGTTTTCTCTCATTATATAAAACTTCATTTTCCTTTGCTATTTTCACAGCTATTGCTACATTCGAAACGGAGTACGGCCAATGGGTTGAAGAACTAAATAGACAAATATCCGGCTTAGGGAAAGCTCTTCAATCAAATGTTGGGGATTTGGAACTCCGGTCGCTCGTTGATGGTGGAATGAAGCATTATTTTGATCTGTTTGTGATGAAATCTACAGCTGCAAAGGCTGACGTGTTTTATGTTATGTCGGGTTTGTGGAAAATGCCAGCCGAACGATTTTTCTTATGGGTCGGAGGCTTTCGGCCTTCAGAAATTTTAAGGGTAATCCAAGTTTCATTTTTCTTTGATGATTACAACGAAACTGAAGTTCTTGTCTTATGCTAGAACAAAAGTAGGTGGACTCGAAATAAAACCTACCAGCCATTACATCTTTGTCACCAAATCTATATCTGGTTCTGGCTGAATAGCTCGAAGTTGATAAGCATGTCTAAGTAATTATTAACAATTCTGATAAAATCGAACTGTTATAACGTCTAATATCAATCTCCATCACTAGAACTTAGAAACAATTTTAGTAGTTTACGTTTGAATTTTTCTTCAAACAGGTTCTGTCACCACATCTCGATCCTTTGTCCGAACAACAACAATTGGATGTTTGTAATCTTGCACAATCATGTCAGCAGGCAGAGGATGCTTTATCTCAGGGGATGGAAAAACTTCATATAATTCTTGCTGATACCATAGCCGGACGAAAGCTGGGCGAAGACAGCTATGGCCCACACGTTCGAGCTGCTGTTGATAAGTTGGAAGCCCTCGTGAGGTTTGTGGCTCAGGTAACACTTGTCTTTCCTAGCATTTGTGTTGTGACTGTAATAGAAAATTTGTATCACATAAATGTTACATCAACTTATATGCCTTTTATTTTAACTGAGGGACATGTACTAGAGTTTCCTTGTGTCTCTAGATTACAAATATCCCTTAATGTGTTATTGATGTCACTTGGAGTTGGCCTTTGCACTTGTCTAACGAACTTCCCTTGAAAGGTTCCAATCGTGTTAAAAAAAATGTCCAATAGGCTGAAGGTTAGGAGTGCTTTTTGTGAATTTCATAGTTCATTACTAGACGAATATATGAATAAGTTACTTGGGAGTGATTGAACTTTAAAAAAAAAAAAATTGTAAACTAGGTTCTAGCTTGAAGGAATGACAAACTTTAAGTTTTCCCTTTGATCATGATTGAAAATGGAGGATGAGTGCTTTGGATTTATGGTTCTGCTCCTAGTTTGACTTGTTCAAGGAGAGCTATAAGGAGAAGATAATTTTGTATTGTATATTGCGGAGTACAAACTCTGAGTATTTATTGTGAAAACAAAGAATCAAGATACAATATGTACTGAATATATATGATGTACCTACCGTATAAAGATGAATAAAATCAAACCAATCTATCTTATACACAATATTCTAGCATAAGTGAAATATACACAAATAGTGTAACACCATCTTCAAGTTGGAGCATATATATTATTCATGCCCAACTTGTCACATAGCTCAGCAAAATGCTTCATGTCTAACATGTTCACAAAGATGCTAGAAACGAATAAAGAGTAACAATTTTTTGGATTGATAAAGTGGCAATCGACCTCAATATGTTTTGTTCTTTCATGAAAAATAGGGTTATTAGCAATGTGAATGACCACTTGGTTATCACAATACATTGACAATGGCTCATTACATGGATATCCCTTCGAGTAAACTAGTACGTAGCCCATGCGATGCACGAGGCAGTAATGATATATCATATAAATTAAAGCAGTCTAGAAATATTGATTAGTACAAAAATAGTTTTATATCTTCATATATTTTTTTTATTGTTTTGGTGATATATAATAATTTAATATATGATTTATATGTGTATTTCACCTTTTATGAAATAGTTGTCATTTTAGATTTAGAGTTCCTGCTTCAGATTAAGAAACATAAAAATTTAATACATTCAAACGTTATCAATAAATAATACTCACAAAAATATTTCTCTCTCTCTCTCTCTCGCTTCCCTTGCTCATGTCTTATTATAATGTATTATTTCGATTAGTAAATAAGTGATAAGTTGAAAAATTGTGGAAAATATTATAAACCTACACTTAATTTAAAAAAAAAAAATGTAGTGTGTATTATTTTTAAGTTATTACATTTATACTTTGAACTACGTTAAAATCATTATTATTTTTATAATTTATCATAATTTATATTATAAATATTCTGAATTTTATTTCTAATCTAATTATAATCTAATAATATATATATGCCAGTGCGACAAATGACCCGTTGGTTTATCATTGACATCGCATATACTTGATTCTGAAAATAATATTTATTTATATTTTATATTTTTATCATTAAATTCTTAAACTCGTGATGGATAAACTTACCGATTATAATTTTATACTAAATACATTTTATTATATGTGCTTTTATATTTTATTGTATGAATAAATTGAGACTAATTCTTTATCTTTAAATCAGTATTAAATAAAAATTTAAGTACATGTTATCATCTGACCTGATGTTTCTCCATCAAAAGTGCAACACTTGGAATTGGATCGTCTATACTGACTCAACATAATCAGCATCAGGAAAGGCCTCTATCTTCAAGTGCCCATATCTTCGATAGGCCAATCCTTTCCTAGGAGACCTTCGTATTTTAAGAGCAACTTCCCAATGAACTTGTTGTGGTTAGTCCATTGAACATACAATTCAAAAAATGTGCATTCTGATTTTTTAGTTTTCAAAGGAAGGATTCAAAAGAATTGATCTTTAGTGGTTGAATTTCTTTTTGACTAACCACTCCAACTACAAATGAGATGACAAATCGCGAAACAGATCTTCTCAGGTGTAGGGTTTGAAAAAATAATTAGGGGGAGAGAACTTGCTCCGGTACCATGTGAGAGATAAAGGAGAGAATTATAGGGAGTAGATAATTTCTTGTTGTGAATTTAGTACAAACTACAAACTACCAATATTTATAATGGCAGCAAAGAATCAACATATAATGTGTACCAAATTAGAATGAATCAATCTAATCTTTATAAGAAGATATACACACATATTCTAACATTGGAAAACATACACAATATTCTAACTTCCACATATAAAATACTTCTCTACTTCTCCTGCGTTGGTTGATATAATATCACTTCTTCCAAAAGCGGATACGTTTGGTTTAGTGTTATTTATAAGAAGCTTCGGCTTCATTTGGATTAGTGAATTTGAAACTTTTAACGATTGCCCACATCCAATTACAAATTCATTAAACTTGTTTGTAAAATCTCATATAAATGATGGTGTTTTCCTTGTTTATTTTATTTTATTTTTTATCTTTATTCTTTTGTTGTTGTTTTTCGCAAATTTATATGTATAAAACATTTTGTTTTTCTGGATTTTAAAAAACAGGCAGATCATCTCCGGCAAGAAACTCTTCAGCAGCTATTGCAAATTCTCACACCTCTGCAAGCAGCTCAGGCTTTCATCAACTTGGGTGAGTATTTCCAACGCCTTCGAACTTTAAGTTCAGTTTGGTCCTCACGTCCCCAAGAAAAGGCCTAAGTTGTGATGTGAAATCAGCTAAAGTCCCTCATTTATAGTTTGGTACACATGGCAGATAGTTATGAAATCTACTGCTATTGTAAAATTGTAAATATGTGTACGTAGTTTGTTAAAAGGCAGTTTGCAAATTCCTATAAGTTTTTTTTTTTTTATTATTTTTTTCCTTGCTTTTATACTCCTTTGATGTATTGCATATGTCTAATTTTTTTGAAGTGTATCTGGGGTCTCTGTATATTTCCAGGTTTATATGTCTCTTTAGCATGTTAGACAGTGGGAAGAAATATGACACAAGATTCTTGTAAATGTGAAGGCAATGGAAAGTAGAATTTTTTCTTATAAAGTGAAAATTATCTGTATTTGTATCTCATTTTTTGCCAATTTCTCCTTGATTGAAGTACAAGTATGTGCATGCTCGTTATGACACAATGTTTTAAGCAACAAAGGCTGAAATATATAATTCATTAATAAAATTATAATTACTATCAAAGATTTTTGTTAGTGGTGATAGTGTCTTTTCGAAATTACAAACATTTATTAATATTTATATTTTATAAATTGTACATTTTCAGATGAGTTGAGCATGATTACAAAATTCAAACCTGTTTTATGGTCCTAACAATTTCGAGTGATAATATTTGTTTATGTAATAGATTACATATTAAATATCAAATATTAATGGCTGTCTGCACAATCAGTGTGCGTAAGCTAGAATACTCTTAAATTGTAAATGCAATGCGTGACGGATGACCATGGGTCTGGAAGTGCACGAAAAAACCAAAGTCTAAGTTATACTGCACACTTTATTAATTGTTAGTATTTGAATGTATTTTCACGTTTGATGGTTACATTGATATTTTTACTCTATTTTATTCTCTACATCGAAAGGATAATTACATATCGAAGACTGCACAAACAAAGCAAAAAGTGAAAAAAACTAAGGGTCAGTGCATCATTTTTTTTTTTAATTTTTTTTCCTACACTTTGCGTGGCATCTCTCCTCTCGGCCAATTTCCTCAATTTGAACTGTAAATTGTTATTTGTATATATTCTGATTTCTTTCAATCACTTGTTTAACAACAGGCGAAAAAGGAAATGCTTTCAAAACCCGTATCAGACGCTTTAACAAAATGATTATTTTTTTATTTTATTATTATTATTTTTTTTTTGGTAGCCAGCCACGGTATCTGGAAGCTTAACTAGTCAGCTCAGCCGAAGATTAAATTATCAGAGTATCATGTTCAAGAATCCACATGATTCCTCTTACCAAAATCACAATGTCTTGGCAAACTACAGAATCATCATCTTCCATCTAAAATAGAAAAACAAAAAAGAAAATAAACACACACACAAAAATACTTGATATCTGCAAGTCAGGAAGACCCCAAACGCCATTTCTCGTAAGCAACTTTCAATTCCTTCCCGTATTTGGAGACAAACTTCTCCACAAACTCGTCCTCCTTCAACAACAACACCGTAATAAAACTCGGATGCCTCTTCAGAACTCCCCTCGACTTCACCACCTCCATCACTTTCAACCTTGGCACCATCCTCTTCTCCAAACTGAACTTCAAAAGAAAAGGAGACCCCACAAGCAGACACCTGTCAAACCCCAGAGTATTTATAAAGAAGTCCACCGAACGCCTCAGCTTCTTCTCAGATGCCTTCAAAAGCATGGGCGACTTCACAAACATCAAACTACACTCTTCTTTTCTAAACCCAAGCTCCTCAAACAGCCCAAACTTTCTACTAATAGTCTCTGGGCTATTACTGTAGAGTGCTAGAACACCGTAGACCAGCATTCTTGAGCCCATTTTGAAGCCCATCTCAACAGCCCGCGAAACGAGCCCTTTAAGCTCGGGCTCGCGCATGGAGAACAACCTAAGCTCGATTTTCATAAGCATAATCAGTTGAGAGCCAATAATCCCACAGCTCTTCAAGTAGGCTATGTTGGACTCGAGTGTCGCCTCCTTCCCAATGTCCCAGCTGTACCTCGAGAGTATGCGGAAAAGGAGAAGGGTAATTTCGTCATTTGTCTTTTTCCCCCGGTAGCACTCGAGGACTCTCTTGATGACCCCGATGCTCGGTTTTAGCTTTTTGTCGAGGCTGCTGGATAGGAGTGTGGGGTTCTTGGAGAATAAGATGGGCAGGTGGGGTCCACGCAGGCCCAGTTCTTGACAGAAGTCGACTTTGGGCCTGAGGATTTTGTCGACATCTTTGAATAAGACAAATGGTTGGCGTCTGATTACTGACTGCATATGGGCAGTGGAGAGGCCGAGGGATTCGAAGTAGCGGACGACTAATTCGGGCTTTTCGGTGGAGTCAACGGGAGGGAAGTAGCTGGAGAGAGTGTCGGCTTTTTGGTAGGGGAATTTAAGGGATTTCATGAGGAAGTCGGTTAGAAGGGGGTTTTTGGAGGTTAGGTCTTGGGTTGTTGAGGTGTTGTGAGCCCTTTTTTGGTAGGTTGTGAGGAAATTGGTGATGGAACGTAGGAGGAGGGAGTGGACTTGGTGGGATGATTTAAATTTTATCATCACTTCTTGAAAAGTGGGAGTAAAGGGGGGAATGAGGTATGATTTATTAGAACTTGTAAAGAGAATCACGGATTACTTCATTAACCTGCAGCACTGAGAAAACAACAACAATACAGATGAATTCGGCTTTCGCAGCTTTCATTAATACGAGAAAATGGCGGTAAGTTTGGCGTATAGATTCTTGGATGCACCTATAGACTATAGTATTGGCTATTCTACAACTTCTTCCAGAAAATAAAAGAAACAAAAAAAAAAAGAACCCGGCAAAGTACACTAGTCGAGAAAAATTGCAAATTTAGGCGTCAAAGGCAATAAAAGAACTCCCATCAACAAATACAANACAGAAAACATTGACGCGCAGTTTAAGAAGCGCGCAGTACATTTCCATCCATTTAAATCAATTCAACAACGTATGCAATGATTGCGGAGGTACGAGATGGAGCATTTACCTTGAATGTAGGAGAATTAACTATATGAAACTCGAGGATGCCTTTTCACAGTTACAGCGCGAGGACAAGTCAATTTAGGGTATAACTAAATAATTCTCGGGGCAAGATTTTAAAAACGGGTGAGATGATGTGTGTTTTGCACATCTAAGGCTCTAAAGCATCTCCAATGGTCATTCTATTTCTCTATTTTGTTGCCACATGTCACAAATAATCTTATGTGGCTTGAAAAAATTCTAGAAGGCTTTCTAGATGTAGAAGCCTTTCTAGACAACTTCCATTGTATATTAACATATTTATTTAATTTATTTATCTTTTTCAACCAATTAAAATTTTACACATCACAAATGATACCACAATTAACATCAACCATTGGAGACATAATTTTTTAGTTTTCATTCTCCATGCCATACAACACAAAATGGATCATTTTCCATTGGAGATGCTCTAACCATGTCCTACAAATAGGACTTCTAGCTGAAACAAGTAAGAAGGCATAAAAAAGGCTTGACCCTATTCAGGTGTTCATAGACCATCACTCCACCTGATAATTTTGTGTTGCTAAATAGCGCACCCTTTTTACTAAATATCGTACTCTAAAAAGACAGTTTTGTTCTTGTCAATTTTTTTTTTAGGCCGGTCGGTCACGATTCCCCGTTGGCCGCACCAGACACGGCCTTCTTTCCTGGTTGGCCGCACCAGACACGGCCTTCTTTCTCAGTTGGTCGCACCAGACACGGTCTTCTTTCCCGGTTGGCCGCACCATGCACGGCCTTCTTTCCCGGTTGGCAGCACGGATTTTTTTTTTATTCAAATTTTTATTTATTATATACATTATATTAGAATTTAGTTATTATGTTATAAATTAAAATTTATTATCTTACAGTTAGAATTTAGAAATTGTTAAATTATAAATTATAATTAATTATCTTATAGAATTTTATTATTATTATGTTAGAACTTTTAAATTATTATGTTATATAACATAATATTAATTATCTCTAACAAAATACTAATGAGTGATGTTATTAAAAATTGCAGTCCCCTTTTTTTCTTAAATCCGCTCCTTTTCAACTCGGTAATACATTTTAAATACAAAATAATATTATGACTTAAATTTGAAATTTATAAATACCAATTTAAATAAAAAATTGAACAAAAAAAGTCGGATTCTGTTCGAGCAATTCATTGAGACCGATTAATTCAGTATGATTAGACCGAAATTTTATGACAAGATTGTTTGACACTTTTCTCAGAGTTATATGATTCGTGTGAATATTATAGTAGGTAAACATTCAAGCTCATTTTCAATTGAAGTATTAAAATGCCTTGCTGTTGACTTTCATTCTCTAATGGACTTGTATTTAATCGAATCAATTTTACCAAGCTTGGGATCATGATGTTAGTGTCATATCTAAATTTAATTTTAACGTTTCTTCTGATAGTAGTAGTAATAAATTCTAATCAATTCGAAACCACATATAATTGCAATTTTTTTTGCCCGTTCGATAGCTTCTTCTGAAATAGTAGTAATAAATTCTAATTTATAAGATAATAATTATAATGTATAACACCATAATACTTTCTAACTTCTAACATAGTAGTACTAAATATTACTTCATACGACAATCAATTCTAATTCTATATCATAATAATTTCTAACTTATAACATAATAATAATAAATTCTAATTTATAAGATAATCAATTCTAGTATATAATATAATAATTTCTAACTTCTAACAAAATCGTAATAAATTCAAATTTATAAAACAATCAATTCTAATTCTATACCATAATAATTTCTAACTTCTAATATAATAGTAATAAATTCTAATTTATAAGATAATCAATTCAAATATATAACATAATAATTTATACTAATATAATTTTTTTCAAACTAGTATCATTTCTAATTTATAATAATATAATTTATGCTAATTTTAAAACTAGTATCAATAAATTATACTTCATAAGATAATCAATACTAATCTATACCACAATAATTTCTAACATATTATTAAAAGAAAATTCACTTATCATCCCACTTTCATTTTTTTTTTTCTTTTTTTTAGTGAGGTAAAAATTATTTAAATATTATATATATATATATAAGTTACTATTAGTTAGTTTAAGTATTTGAATGTTTTAATTTCTTAATATTTAATTAACAAAATTTTCTTAATATTTAATTAACAAAATGTTTTATATATATGAAATTATTTAAATATATTTTTAATATTTCAATATTTTTTAATTAACAAAAATTAAAAACCAA